GCTCCTGGAAACAGATCTCCCTTGGTCAGAGGCAGATCAGAATCACGTCCTCACCTCCCAAAGACCATTATCTTCCTCCAGCTAGTGACTTAGAAAGGCATCTCACAGGGAGTTAGACAGATCCTCAGCTTAAGCAGAATCTACAGGGATTTTCACAGAGCCATGGCAAGATCCTGAGCTCCTCAGGATATCCCTTGTCACTTCTCCAGCCTATGACTCAGGAGTCTGAGGTCTTTTCTCAGATATTCCTGGAGATCATCAATAGGCGCATGAGATTATCAGAGAAACTGTCCCCCTGCATAAACCTCTCATTGATTACATAGCAGTGATGTCAATTGTCATTAGGACATAATGCCCATGGAAATACACCTGGAACGGTTGCAAGGACTTTCCAATTTCTCTGTATTAATCAGCACTGTGGAGCTGACAGGATCATGACAGATGAAATGGATAACTGAAGTGCTGACAGAATGCAAGCTGGTGGGAAAGGGAGTACAAAGGGTGTAGCAACATCTGGAAGGGTTAAGGCAAAACTCGTAACAAGCCATGTAGGAGAAGGCTGTCACATGTAGACAGACCACTTTACATTTGGACAATGAGACTTGGGCCTGAAGTGAGAAAATAGCATGTAGGATAGCAAAATTTTCTCAGGGGGTAGGTCTGGAAGACTTGTTCCTGAAAAACAGCAGGATGTTGACTCAGTTTAACTGTCCAAAGCTAAAAATCCCCAAGCTATTCTGAATGGAGTTATTAATCTGCTTTTAATTACTCAGTCAATTTAGTAATAAAAGCAGATACTTTCATCCAAGTTGGGTTACTATAATGGCCAGGGATCTTATGAAAAACCTCAGGTCTGTGCAGAAGTCAAGCAAATGACTTCTGAAATGGAATAGGTTTGTTTCTACCACAAGACATACCTCCTGTTATCTGTTTTGACTGAGATGTAGAATAAGGTATCCTTGTTCAAGAGACAAAAGTCCTTCTCCTTTCTATAGAGCTGGGATGATCTCCTCCATCACCACCCTAAACTGAGCTTATGTAAGAACACATGCAGTATTCATAAGTCCCAAATGGGGTCTCATCCTTCCTCCACATCTGCCTCTATGAAAAAACTATTCATCTTAGTATTGATTAATTCCGACTAAAGCAGCAGCAACTACCAATGATAACGGTGTTAAGTAATGAGGAAGAAACTGAGTCATGTGGGCTGAGATCAAGTATCTTTGCTTGACCCAGCAAGAGATGTAGGTGCTGTGGCCTCTCTAAGGTAGCTTCACAGATCTGAGGTTGGTCTTATTTATACACTGGGAGATGTGGCATTGTGTCATGCCAGCAACAATCTGTCCAAAAGGTGATGGTTAGCTTTAACTTGTGCCACACTTCCAACCAAGTTAAATGCCCTAAAATGTTCAGCAAGCCCCAGAGATGCACTGTGAGCATTCAAAGAACCTGCAAGGGATCACCAAGACGCATTCCAGAGGACTAAGGAATACCCAAAATGTCAGTGGAAAGCTCTCGTTCCAATGATGCCACAGCTAAGACAAGTAAGTCAGTCTACAACATTACTGTGCAAATCTGTGACCATGTGGCAACTTCTGCTGGTTACATGGCAAAGTGACTGCTGTTGCCAAAATGGAAAGAAAGGATGGGCAGTGGAGGATATTTACCAGTAAAGAGGTGAAAAAGCAGGATGCAAGGTGGCCCTCAATCCTCCCCAAATAATTTGTGGCAAAACACACATCTTTTCATCATGTGTCTGGGGAACCTAAAAGAAGTATTTGAATTGGGGAATGGGTTAGAATATGTTTGGGAGCACTGTAACCCAGCTAGGTTTGTGTGGGATTCCTGCAAGACAATCTGCTCCTGACCTGTCAGCTGGGAGAGGAGTGTGTAACTGCCTGCTGGGACAATGGCTCCTTAACACCATGAAGGTCTACTGCTGAGAGCACAAACTGGATAACGACAGAATGCTTGACATGAAGGGGTAGACCAGAAAGCAGAGAAGGATTCATAATGCCTAAGACCTCAAGGGTCTTAGAAGCCATCAACAGAAGCAAATGCATCCAAGGGACCAGAGAGATGGTCTTAGAAACGATGAGAGTCTGGGCAATCATAATTCAACAGGTGACTTCTCACATCAATTGTGATAACTTCAGTCCCAAAGGCAAGTAAATGAAGAAGAGAGGCAACCAGATAAGAACAACTGAAGGGTATATTAGCAAATAAGTAAAGTCCTGTTTTGTTAAAGAAGCCTGAAGTCACCACAAATGCTCTGCCTTACAGAGGGTGATTGAGTTTGTCTGAAGACATAGGGTAATGTATGAGAGGGGAAAGTGACCTCAGAGGATACTATTATTGCCTTAAAAAATCCTAACACATCAAGAACCTCCAGCCATAAATGTCATGGTAGGCAATCACCTCAATGCTAAATAGGCATGTGGACTGTCACTGCAAGACAACAGCATTTTACTTATTATCACATTGGTAAAATCTGTCCAGATCGAAGTTACTCCAACCGAATTTATCTGAAAATCCACAAGTCATTGACTTTAAATCATCTGTCATGTCATCATGTTTGTTTATTTATTCAAGACACGGAAAAGTTGATTTCAAACCAGAATTTCAGGAGATGGTATTCCATGATTTATATGATAACATTAATCTAAAGAAGCAAATATAGAACTTAGTTTACCTGAAGCTTTCTGAAATATCAAATTCTTTTTTTTTTTAAACAGGCTTTCATACCCGCAATATGTGCAACAGGTTGCTGACAGCTGGCAATACAATGCCCTACTTTTCCAGAAGTGCTTTTACTCTGTGAAATTCTGTTTCGATTTTGCTGAGACTGGACCTTGAAATAGTGCTTTTTTTCCACCCCCCTCATGCTCAGCCCTTGTGGAAATTTATAAGCTTCATAAAGTAGTATTTTTATACTAAAACATTATAAAATCAGGCATATACTGCAGTTTATTATGATCAGTGCTGGAAAGACACAGGAAAGGACCCCTCTGGTTGTCTTATCTGAAGAAAAGAGCTCTCTATCCTCAGCACACAGCCTCAGCACCTTGATTTCTCCTCTGGGGACACCAAATGGGGCAAGAGTTCTCCCAGGTCTATAGGAGTAATAAATGACTCTCTCTCCTTTGCTGACTGAAACATAAACCTATCAGCTGAACCAGGATGACTGTCTGTCCTCTGAAAGAGAGTTTTTGTCTGCAGCCAGCTAGTTCTGTGATTAAAGTGTACGACTATGTCTCAAATCCTGCTGTTAAAGCATAATGAAGAAGTTGACATTTTGCACGTAACAGTTCTTTATTTTCTTTGAAAAATCAGTCCAGGCAAAAAAAACCCCAAACAAAAAAATCCACATTCCTGAGAGCTCATGACTGAACAAAAGAAAACTAGGGCATTGCAAATTTATAGCTGTCTGTACAACTTTCAGTCTGTTTCTTGCATGTGTGTGTTCTTATACAGTTATTAAATACGTAACCAAAACTTTTATCCCCTCCATCTTTTGACTTATTTAGGGTACAGAATAAGCACCTGAAGGAATAAAATTAGGACGGCACAAACAACTGTAAATTTAGCATTGCTTATTTTTAGTGTTGAATTAAACATGTTTTTCAGAATGCAACAATAGCTACTATGTCCTACCTTTTTCCTCAAGCATCCTCATGTTTTTTCCTTCTTTTTTTTAATGCTGTTGCTACCCAGGTAAAAGTATCACTTATGTGATTGAATTCTTTAAATTGACAGGCAGTTATACATTGATACTATGTAATCCTGTGATAAATACATGAATTCTCATCTTAAAATTGCTTAAGTTTTAGTTACCATTACTAGAAAGTTATTTTGGAAGCTCACTTCTCTGATGACTACACAAAGCCATTTCCAATTTCCAACATACATTTATTCGTAGCGAGCTTACAAATCTTGGTCTTGGTACAACTGTGTTGTTTATATCTTAAAATAACTCTATTTCTTTTCAGTGTTTACCGCTTGAGATGAAAACAAATTTATTCCGTCCTTTGGCATTATTTTTCTAGTCTGAGCAGGAAGACCCCTCTTATTTTCCCACTGTAAGATAAAAGCTCTGTCACTCTAATCATTCATTGGTTCTTCTCTGCATTTGTTCTTCTTGAAATTCAGATTTGTACAGCGTATTCTGGGTGACAAATTATATGTGTCTTCTAAAGGAGTATTAGCATTCTCTAATTTCTGCTGAAAATTCTTCACCTGATACAGACTAGGACTGCACTGGCATTTTTCAACTCCCAGTTGAGAGAAAGAGCTCCTGCCTTTATCCTAGTGAACTTACTTCTGACAATCCCGTCCTCAAGATCTTCCTGTTGACTATTCTGAAACTCTTCTGTTTTCATTGTGCCGTATGACTTTATGGTCACTGTAAGTATAATCAGCACACTTCAACTTTATGCATCAAGGTCACTTTGAAGATGTAAAATAAACCTGGTACAAAAGACTGAACTTGAGAAACTTCCGGCCCAACAGTGAAGCCTGATGTTGCCTCCTCACTAATCAGGTCTTTGGCCATCTCACTGTTTGCATACTAATCTTCATCCTCTCTAGTTTAACTCTAGTTACCCAGAATGGATTATTACTAAAACCATGAAAAGGTGTCTTTATCAATTTTTCACTCTACATAAGTTAAGAACAGTATATACAAAAAACTGCCCTATATATCTGGGAGGACAAGAGT